GTGAATATTTTGTGTATAACAATTTAAAAAGTATTTTATATGAATAACTGAATAAATGTCGACTAAATGTCGACCAAGTGAAGAACAAGTGACGAACAACTGAAGACAATCGAATATACGTCGACTATGTTTCAACTATATGTCGTCCAAATGACAACCATCGACCAAGTGACCTTCGAGTCATGACTGAGGGACTATGATCAAAAGTTGGTGTACAAAAAAGTATGTCTTTTCTGAATTTTAACTACAAATGTGGACACAGGTAAGAATGTAAGACATCTCAAATTTGATTTGATTTTATCACTTGAGTCTCAAAGAATTCACAGGAGCCAATGTTTGGTCTTTGGTCACATTTCTTTTAAGAAAATACTGACAGGCAGCGTTAACAAGTATTTACAGCAGGTTCATTTAGGAACAAAAATGTCCCCAGTGCCAGATCAATAAAGTTCAACCTTAACCCAAACCTTGAAAGTTCAGTTGGTAGAGAACAATCTGCACCAGACATGTGGACACTGTGTCTCTGGGCATGTCTTCTCTAGTCGTCTCTCACTTCTTGGACAACTTCACTTGTTTATTTTTGGGAGGAGCCCATTTCAGAAAAACAGTGTCAACTGTTAAAGAAAAAAAAAAGACAACATTTTGTTAGTGAAGCCACACCCACTAGTACTAGTAATGGTTGAGTTCTAAATGTTATGACATCGTCTTTTAGTGTTGGACGAGGTCCTGGACCAGGCCTAGAGACACGCACCTGTGATGGGGGGTCTTTTGTACTGAGCACTCTTCAGATGTTCCTCCACCAGTTTGGGCGTCACACAGATGACATGCTGCCCTTTCCAGTACTTGACCATGTTGAGGGACTGCAGCGTGCTGATGATGTCACTCTGGGTGATGCTGGTCATCTGACTGTGGACACAGAGACAGCAGCAAGACCAACGATTGAACACTGGATTAGACCGGACTGGACTCGTTTTCTGTGCCTTTGACCCACACCCGGAGTTTGTGACTACCTGAGGTCTTTGATGGACAGCGTTCCTCTGAAGTCCCTCAAGATCTCCAGTAGAACCCAGGACCAGTAGCTCCTGTAGCTCAGCTTCCCCAGATCAGACAGAGGCTTCTCCGGAGAACCTACTGTGTTCTCCAGCTTTGACAGCTCATAACCTACACACACACACACACACACACACACACACACACACACAGGGACATAGTGTAGACTTAATCTGCACCAATACAGGAGGTGGGTTTAACAAAGTGTTTCAGTGTCCACGCCAAAGTCCAAATTTACGAAGTAAAGGGGAACGATCCACCATAGGTCCAACGACTCACATGACCAATTAACGGTCATATTGTTCGGGCCCATGGCCACACCCTGGACAGTAGAACTGACGAAGCCTCTTGGATCTCTCACTCCAGGTGAGTCCACTTTAAAACTGCTTTTGAGATTATTATTATTATGACCTGGATGACTGAGAATATCCACAAATATCTATCACTATCCCACCTGTGTTTCCCCTCCCCTTCTCTGTTCATATGATCTGTCACTCATACACACACACAACCAAATACTTACTGAAGGCTATGAGAAACTTCCCGTAACCTCTGCGTTGGTACGGCGGCAGTGTGAGAATACACGCCACGTTGTTTCCGTCCGGTGACTCTTTTTCCTGAAAACAAAGCCAGAGGATAAAGTTAGAGTCAAACTTGCAGGTGCAGCTGTGTGTGTTCCCAAACACATCCCACAAAGAATACACACACACACACACACACACACAGTCTTACTTTGGAGAAGTATCCTACGATGTGGGCTCCGTGTTTGTTGACTTCCGTCAGGATGTAGAAGATGAACGGCTCCACATCAAAGTACAAGGTCTTGTGGTCCAGGAAGAGTTTGGCCAGAAGACAGAGATTCTGACAGTAGATCTGCACACACACACACACACACACAGTGACATCATCATTATGGCTTTGTGTTTGTGATTAATTGTTCAAATGTTGATCCCAGGTCAGACTCAGGTCCAGTCTCCAGATCCATACACACACACACACACACACACACACACACACACAGTGACATCATCATTCTGGCTTTGTGTCTCCAGATCCACGTCATGATGATCAATACATTTTTTGTTATTGATGAACTCCACCTGCCTATTTCTCACCTTGTGGTCTCGTCCGTCCACTTCGAACACCGAGATGTTGCTGCGTCTGTAGATCTCCTTTCCTGACGGCTGTCTCCACTGACAGTGAGCCTGCACAGACACAAACATTCATGAGGTTCTCGTGGCCTCGTAACACGTGCGGCTCAGAGGACCAATCAGTGTGTTAGACACAACTCACCAGGTGATGTCTGAAGGTCTTCTCATACTTCATGTATTTCAGGCAGTACTCGCAGATCCACAGCTTGGGCTGCTTTCCATAATCCTCAGGGAAAGGTGAGAAGTACCAGGCGTCTATCTCAAAGTTACCGATCTGGATCTTATCCACGTATTTGACTTTGGTGATCTTTCACAGGAGAACATTTTTAACAAATTTTAAGCGTTTATGCTCTTGTTCAGGTAAAATACTTAAAATTAATTTAATGGTGTTTTGTAGAGCTGTAATGAAGTCTGTACGAATTCCAGCCATTAAATTCTGCAGAGAAAGCAGGCCTAGATTGAAACCGAACTCAAACCACAAGGCGAGAACTGTCAAACTACTCCACCCTGTGGACGGATTAAGATTAACAAGCACAAGTTCAACAGTATATACCGCTTGTGGGCAAACTTTTTTACTCGTGGGCCTCAATGGATCCTAAAATTTGATAGCGGGGCCGGCTTAGGAGCAGATAGATGCTGCGTTTGTGTAAACAAAGATAAATTATATGTAAAAGTCACGCATAAAGACTAAAATCCTTTTAGCCTCATAGCAACTCTTCATCTTACCGCCTCGTGTTCTTTCTCCAGGGCAGCTGTTGTTGGGTCCATTTCTGCATACGTCTGCATAAATACAAAAAAGAAAACACAGGTTCAGGGATGATTTCACGGCTAATTATTTAATTGATTGTTTGTCCCACAGTTTTTTTCCTCTCAAATCTATTTCTTAATACAGAGCATATAAACATGTTTACGTCCATGTGAACAATGACGTTTTGATTCCTTATCTAAAGGACTGAAATCAGACTGAAGAGTCAGTGCCCATCTTTTTTTTACCTTCTGCACGTGGTTGATTTCATCGTGCTTGCGCTTCTGGTTCCGAGTGATCTTCCTCTCCGGCTGTTCTCCCAGATCACCGATGCCGCCCATCTCAGTGCTCTTCCTGACAGCATCTTTCACTGTCTTTGTCAGAGCCAGACGTGCCTTTCCCACCCACTCATCCAGGCGTCTGTTAACTAAAGTCAAACGAAACACAGTGATGTCACTCAATAAATATCAAACATGAGCAAAACAGGAAAATAAAACAACTAATAAGGTTAGCAACAGACACCAGAGCTAAAATGCTAACATGATGCCTATTAGCCAATGCATAACAATAAAACGTTGTTCAAATTGTAACTTGTTTTGTGACAGTTATGGTATTGAACAAATAATAAATAATTAAAAATACTCGTATACTTGACACAGAACCCATATATTGTCTGGATTTTAAAAGTATGGTACTCACATCCGACATAATGAACGTAGAACTCCTCCCTGCCCTCCTGCTCGTTCAGTCGAGACTGAATGACCTCTGCTGTGTCTGCAAAGTAAAAAAAAAAGTCAAGTGTCACTGGGCAAGTTCAGCCAAAGTAGAGTAAAGTAAGTACGTCACAGTAAACATCAGTATATGTTGCGCAGAGTTTTAAGGAAAGTGTGAATACAACATTCAAATTACACTAATGCATTTTTTCACATATCTAATGATCACGAATAAACATCTTATTTGTTGCGACAAGCACAAGCCAAAACATGGAGATCCCATGTGGTAGCCACCGTAAATAAAGACCCATGTACACAAAAGAACTCTTTATGGGAAGGGAACTTTAACGTTTACTTTCTCCTAAAAGCATCGACAGTTCATTAAAGCGAATGCAGCATCGCTAATTACACGTAACTTTCGTTTTAATGTCTTCAAATAGAACTAAAAATAGAAAATATGTTTTTAAGAATTACACACACTGATGGGAGTTAGGGGAAAACAAAGGGGGTTGCTTACGCCATGTCTTGTCGGTTCTTTGACACAGATACGTCTCTCCTATCTCCACCGACACCTCCTGCTCCCGGCCCAAGATTCCACCTTCGTTTGGCATGTGCCGACTAACCGAGTCCCCGACTTGTGTGACGCCTCGAATTGCCTCAGCCTCATCTTCTTCTCCGCCGCTGCCGTTGGAGGAGCAGGGAGCCTGGATGTTGCTGTCACCCTCCGCCCGCTCGCTCTCCGTGTGGCTGGAGTCCATGTCCACGTCCATGTTCCTTTAATCCAAGTCTTTGTCGTCGAGGTGGGGAACTCTTTCCACACCAGTCAAACTTTTGAGTTAAAATTGAGTTTGAAACCAGATGAGTTGTATAAAACGAACCTGCGCGGTTCAACAACAAATAGCAAACATGGCGCCGCTCACATTTTCTTCTTCTTCGTTTTCAAATGCTACTGGAAACGTCGTTTTGGGCGCAATGTCGCCCCCATTTGGTGTGGCGTCGCTCACGTCGCTTTTCATCCAACGTGTGTGAGAGCCTAAGTTTCACGGGTGATTTATGTTGTGGTTCATTACTAGATTTAGTTTGCTGGATACATCCAAGAATTTTTTTTCAAGATCGAATTTTGAGATATTTTTTAAATATACAAATGGCCTCAATTTTCCAATTGTCACTAGGCGGCAGTATTGCACATGTTTGTCAAATGACCGCCGTAAAAGAAAGAATAGAGGTACACAGACAGAACGTGTTACACCGTTATAAGAACCTGTTTATCCAAATAGAAGAGGCCAGTTATTGTGTATTGTTTGTCACGCCTATATATATTTTGTGATTACGGAAGAAAAAATGAATTTACTCGTGGAAGAATTCCAGCGACATTTTTTCTCCATGACTCGTCTGCCTTCTTTCCCCTGGTCTGTAAGTTTCACCAAACCTTATTAATAATGTAACTAACGTTGTTTCAGCCTCTTAGCTAAAGATTTAAGTCTCGTCAAATCTGCGTTTGATGTAATATAAACATATTTATCCCCGTTGCGAAATGATAATGAATATACATGTAATATTTATTGACTTTGCCGTCAGTCTCTACTAGAACATCTACAGAGGGACACATCGTCCCAACTGATTTCAGAAATCCTGGATCAGGTAGAGTCCGACCGACCGGAACCAGTCATGCGTGTGTGGACATTAAATTTCTCACCACAGTCTTTATCTTTACCGTAGACATGTCGTCACTCACTGTGCAGGAAGTTCCCACCTTCGGTCAGATTCAGGAGACTGTTCCTCTCTCAGCTCATCAAACAGGTCGGTGTTTTAGCTCCGGATCCGGTTTCCTGTGTTTGGACCTTTAGACTTTCAGTCTGAGTGTGACTTTTTTTTTTTTTAATTTTTAAATAAACAGCAGGAGGAGGCAGGAGCGGACCCTCTGGATGAGCTCTACGATGCCCTGGCCGAAGTTCTGGGACCTGAGGATGCCAATGAGTGCTACAAGAACTATTTATTGGTACTGATGTCAAATAAAGACTCACTCTTTATTTGTTGCTAGTGTCATGGTTTCTAAAAAATAAAATACACTGAAGAAATATTCACAATATATATTTTTAAGATCGCTGAAAACTTACTAAAATTAGAGCAACACCGCAATGGTCAGAGATAGACAAAAATGGGTTATAGTGTTAAAACACAACTACACAATTTGTTTTGCGTGTCACAGCCACATGGTGGCGCAGTTACCTTGCTGGAGAACACGGCTCTAATCTCACAGGGAACGACGGGGCTGGTGACCTGGGAGGCTGGCCTTTACCTTGCTGAGTGGGCTCTGGATCATCGGGAAGTCTTCACTGGAAGGTAACAGCACAAACAGACCACAAAGAAAATCACAGTCACACTGGGCTGATGTCTTTTTTATTTTATAAATTTTTTTTTACTGGTATTTCAGGACAGTTCTGGAGCTTGGCAGCGGCATGGGTGTGACAGGTATCACCGTCTGTCGCTGCTGCAGCCCGAGCAGTCTCGTCTTCAGCGACTACAACCCCAGCGTCCTGCAGAAACTCAGAACTAATGTGGGGGTCAATGGTCTGAGCAACGCCACGCCTGTGGTCAGCGTGGAGCAGCTGGACTGGACGTCAGCCACGGAAGAGCAGTTACAAAAGATTGGGGCGGACGTCGTCATCGCTGCAGGTCAGATTTATGTCAGTGGTCCTGATGGTGTTGGTATTTATCAGTGTGTTTCACATGGAATATTGGGTATAAAAAAAAAGCTGACTATTCACATGGAATATTGGGTATAAAAAAAAAGCTGGCTGGACTATTCACGCCTTCTGAAGAAGAAGGATCCATCCGTGTCTGATGTGTTTTTTATGCAGACTTCAGTCTGAAACTGTTTCAGTTCACCACTGTGAGGCCCAGATATTAGTTCCACAAAGAAATGTCATCAACGAATGAATGAAAAAAACAGATGAGAATGATATTCTGGTCGTTCCAGATGTGACATATGACCCCGAAGTAGCAAGAAATCTGGTGACACTAGTGTCAAAGGTCATCAGGAGCTCAGGTCCAGAGGTTTTCATCTGCTCCACCATCAGGAACTTGGAGACGCACCATGGATTTAAGCAGCATCTCGGTAAGAAACCTGTGCAATTAGCAAAAATTAACAAAACTAACAACAAAATGAATTTTATAAAAATGAATTCACCAATATATCCTTGTGCCAGAGGTTTTGCTAAAAGTAACCACAACAGTAGCATAAGCTAACATTACCTCAAACAAAGCTGCAGAGAAAGTACATGTTATGTACATAATGTACACGTCTGTGAAAAGTTATCCATGAGGATGATTTCCGAATAAGATAACTGAACAGGATACTTGACTTCCTGTCTGTGTCTGAAGTGTTTCCTGTCTGTTTTCTTCTCACCAGAAAATGCCGGAATCAAGCATAAAGTGATCACAGGAGGCGCTAGTCGTGTGTTTTGTTATGATAGAACCTTGTCCCTGGAACTGATTCAACTGTACCGATGACAGGACTTCCACTCAACAGTTCTATCAGGCGTTTCGTTGATACAAAATCAAAAAGAACAAAGACCAGTGTGTGTGGACAATGACAGCGACAGCAGATAAACAGCCAGAGTTGTATTTTTAAAATAAACCTTATTTAATTATTTAAAAATATTAAGTTTGTTTACTTTTTTGGTGTTTGTAAAACTTACTGTTATGGGACCGGGGGAGGCAGGGGGTGAGGGTTATCTGGGAACAGCAATAAGAGGCAGAACATTCTGATCCCAGTTGTCGTCCCAGCGTTGCCCCCTGTTGGAGCGGAGGTTCCTCCTGAACAAATCCAGTCGTCCTTCTGTAGCAGGAAACCCGGAGAGTAGAGACTGAAAAGAAAAAAAAGATTTAGAAATAAATCTTCTCCAAAAAGAAATCAGTGATTTTATTCACTATACGTCTCACCTGCAGCTGCTGAGCCAGTTCCTCAGAGTCTCTGAAGATCAGACCGTTCTTCTCAGGCTTCACCAGCTCCTCTAAACTGAACACAAAAACAGAACCAACTCTCAGCATTCATACAGTCATTGTATGGCTCATATTGTTGGCAACAATAAGGCCCGTCCACAACTGACTTCTTTTTAGTATCATGCTGATAACATTTCACTATTTTGGTAAAGCTTTGATTCATTAGCAATTGTTTATCTGATTAACATTAACTAAATTAACCCCTTGGCTAAAAGCCCTAAGATATTAGCCAACTTTTAGCTTTTTTTTTTAAATCACAATGAAATAAATGAGTAAAAAAATAACAAACCAGTTGAAGTGGACTGCACAGACAGGCAGACAGCAGCCGAACATGTCCACAACCTTCATGGGGAGATCCAAACCGCTGGACGACTTATGGAGACAGACTCCTAGGTCTGCTGCCCCTGGAGGACAAAGAGAACCTGAGGTTGAACCACAGCAGCAGTAAAGTAGGGACGTGATGCACGTCAGAGTTCCAGTGAACAACAATAACTTTGTCCTGTCCGTCTCTGCGTAGGTTTCGTTTACGTCAGTGTGACTGACCTAGTAGAACAGGATAGTCCTCCGGCTCCAGCCACGGAGTGCAGATCTTCACGTGCTCCAAACACAGAGAGTCGATCAGCGTCCTGTAGTGTTCCTTCTGAGGACCTTTACCTGAGCGCACACATACATTATATATATATATAAACAGAAATAAATAAAGCCTGAGTCCTCTGCAGAGTTACTCACCTGTGATGACACAGACCAGCGACGGTAACAGCTCTGCTCCTCCTCTGATGAAACCTTCATACTCTGTGGAGAAGAGGGGAAAAAAAGTTTAAAAAAAATGACTTTGTCTTTGGACTGAGATTAAACATATGAACATTTGTGACTCCGGTCATGAGGTCAGGGTCATAATCCTGGTTGTACAGACGTCTTAAATGTTTTACTTGTCCAGCAGCAGCATAAAGTGTGCGAGTGGTTTAAAATCTCACCCTCCAGAGCTCTCAGCAGGATGGAGAAGTCTTCATCTTCTGTGGGGACAAATAGAAAATACATTAGAAGGTCTTAGTCCAGACACTTAGTGTGTTACTGTTTTTTATTTTTATTCAGCTGTTAGATAGAGTTCTGACCATTTTTAATTATTATTATAAGTTATTATTGGATTTAATAATTTGTTCTTTATTTTTGACAGACTTCGGTTGAGCAACCACCCCAGTCCTAGATTAATGTATTAACAGTTTAAATCAATCCTTCTACATTTTGCTAAAATACTAAATAATAATAAATGAAAGAATACAGAGGTGGAAATAATAAACAAACATGGCTAAAGTCCATGAGAAGTGACTGTGTCCTGCTCACCTGTCCAGCTGGTGCTGCTGATGAGCAGAGCCGGACGACCGGGCCTCAGGCTCACACAGTCATGGAGCTGGTCACGCTCAGAGAAGACTGTCCTCTCTGTTTCAGATTCCTCGCACCTGGAAATGAATCCATCAGTCTGTGTCCACAGGCAGTACCACGAACACGTTCACCTCACAGACAACCGCTGCATCTGTCCTGAAACTTCTACACCTCCCCCAAAAACATTTCCACCAAATGCCTTAATGTCTTGAAATATACTTGTACAATTGTCAGCATCACAGTGCCCCCCAGTGGCTTTACTTGAAAATAACATGCATATGTGAACGTCTGTGTATTGTTTCAATAGTTTTGATGGTAAAATAACAAGGTAGGTTTACACATGGCTCTACGCTCATTTTAACGAAAGAGACTATTTTATACAGTGTATATAGAAGTTTGTCCCAGACCCTCTGTGTGGGGGGGGGTCTTCAGTCTGGAAAACACTGAACAACCCTGGCCTGAAACATGCAGATTTTATGACAGAGGAAAATGGCAACAGTGCCCTCCTACCCCTCGAGCTGAAACTGTGGGTGAGTCTCAGCCAGTTTCATGAAGAGCATGTGTCGCTGCTCCACTGAGGTTTCTCTGAAGATGGAGGCCGGTCTGTCGTACAGAGTGGTGGCGCTGTGAACCATAAGCAGTCAAAGTTTTAGTGCAAGTCCATCATAGTGTCCTAAATCTGATTTCCAATATTTACTCAGACTCTTTAGCTTCATATGATCACTCAACTAAGTTATCTAATTTTCTTACTACTTAATAGTTATTTATGTTTTATTATGGTCTATTTATCTCTTTCTGAGCTTATTTTGATACACTTTCCCTGTCTTGTAGCTCATTTTGGTAAACTTAGGGCAAAATCTGTTATTTGTACCATTGTTCTCCTAATCAGCCAACGATTTTGATTTCTCGGAAAAATCTGTTATTTGTACCATTGTTTTACAAATCTTCGAACAATTTTGATTTCTTTCATTTATGTTTAACTTTCAGATAAATTATTTAATCAATTTGTAAGTGACATCAAGTTATATAAATAATGCACACCTAATGCCCCAGTTGGTCTTCAAGTCTTCCTTCATGGCGTTGGTGACACAAAGATGATGATCAGCCAGAGGACCAAAGAAACGCTCGTACCTGAAAGATGTGTCAACACAAACAAGGTCAGAAATAAAACCCTGCCTCGAATGGTCAGCCTGAGTGACTGCAGTACTGACCACTCAGCCACCCGGACCAGCAGGTGTCCCTGTCTGTGACTCAGAGCCATGATGGTGTAGCCGTAGTTGTGCCAGTCAATGATGAGTTTACTGCCCCGCAAGAGGCACACCAACCAGGCCACAGCCATGCTGGGAAGACCAGGAGGGTTCTGGGAAATGAGCAGTCCAGCTTTTCTCAACATGTCCTGCATTCATGAACACACCTACTCCAATGTATAGATATAAAGTCCTTTAGAACACACCTGCAGCAAAAGGTAGTCCTGCAGCTCCATGTTTAGTAGCAGAGACAGAAGCTGCAGACACTGCAGTAGCACCTTGGTCACATATGTCAGTAGCTTTGGTCCTCCTTAAAAACATAAGGAAAAACAAAAACAGACAATAGTTTTTCATTTTGATGAAGACCAAAAGCACACTGAAAAACAGCAGCCGCAGACACAACAGCAGTTACCTCTGAAACCTTTCACCTCAGTGATGGGAACTATCCTGATGTTTTCAGCTCTCAGCACGTCGAAATGAGGTTTGGAGTCTGAAAAATAAAGATTAATTTCTTATTCTATGGTTTAAATAGGTCACCACAGTACAAACAGTAATACAGTTCACTAATCTATAGCAGTAATTCAGTTTCGTAACAGATACGTTGACTATACTGTATATGTTCCAAGAACCTGAGCCACGACGAGGGAATTCAGTTTCGTAACAGATACGTTGACTATATGTTACAAGAACCTGAGCCTCGACGAAGAAATGTAAACGTTTTACTCGCTCTAAAAGTAACTTCCGGTCATATCAAGTCTTCTTGTTGTTGTCACCTTAATACGTTTTCTTCCTTGTGATTCTGTTGCTGTAATGTTCTTACCTAAAAATCCAACCAGGGTGACGGTAAATCCGTGTTTGCTCAGGGATATGCTGTGGTACTGCATCCGTGGACTGCGGCCCACGTCTCCCAGCACCAGAACGCACACCCGCCGCTCATTTCCTCCGTTCTTTCTCCGTAAACTGCGCCAACCCAGCGTCAGTAGCAGCAACAGTAGCATGAAACACAACAACGGCCAACTCACATCTATCTGCGGCGGCAAAAACAGGGCTAAAAGCGCAGTTATTAACGAAAATACGACTAGCAAAAGGACACCGGCGTCGAGCGACGCCATGTTTGTTTGTTTATGATGACGTTGCCAGTAAAAGGAGGCGGGGCCAAGGATTTAAAGGAACCGTAGCCACTGTGAAAATGAAGTCCCGTTACAAAAACAATGTGTCTACAATGAGAACACTGAGCACAGACACAGGTTCAGGTAAAAATAATAATTCAAAAGCAATTAAAGTTTTTTATAAATTATATAACTTATATTTATAATATACAATTTAAAAAATAAATCTGAAACGACAATTTATTTCAATGACATTTCAAAATAAAAATCTCTGTGGTGTCACATGACCACCCTCCAACCGGCACCGCCCACTGTGTGTGTGTTAGAGAGAGAGAATCTCAGTATGACACAGTAGTTTTCATCCGTAGCCTGGTCCGCATTAACCCGGGTTACAGTAGCAGATGATGCGGACGGTCGGGCTGCTGTCGGCCGCGGTGCTGGCTCTGCTGCTGGCCACCGCAGTGCGTTGCTCTCGGGCGGAGATGATCGACGAGATCCTGAACAGCCTCTCCAAAGGAGCAGCCTTTCTGGAGCGGCAGCGAGAGCACATCAACCTGGACGGTGTGGTGGGCTTCCTCGTGCTGCAGGGTAGGTAAAAAAAAAAAAAAGAGAGAGAGAGAGAACTGCAGATACCAGCTGCTGCAGAGGAGGTGGAGGGAGGGTGTCCACAGCTTCAAACAGCACTGAAGCTCAGCTTCTTCAGGACTGTCCTAACATGCATGGTCAGGTGTTTACAGTTGTACTGACATTTCAATAACCGTGGAATTGTACTTATGTGTGGATGAAGGAATCAGATGAAAAATGTACTGAGATATAGACATAAAAAATAAATAAGTCCTCAACTGTAATTGAAGACAGAAACAGACCATAGTCACTTCTGCTGAGTGTGGTTTTTGCTGAGTTTGATCTCTGATCCAGCCATAATTTCCCAGGACTTCTCAGAGAGATAAACACTCAGACTGTGCATTGCTCTGTCTTCTCTTCTCGTCGCAGCTGAACTGAAGGAAGCAGTTCGGACCTGGCCTCACACCGACATGGTCAGCTGGTCTCAGAGAACCACCGCTGTGGCGCTGGTTCAGCATCTGGACCAAAGCTTTGAGAAAGCTGTGTTGGCACTACAGCAGAATGACCCCCAGTACTACAGAGGTGAGACTCCATGTCCCATGAGCCTCTGCTGCGTGATGTAATGGAAATGTGACAGTTTTATGTTTTTATTATTATTCTGGTTAGGACCAAGTGAAATTACCTCGAAAACACTCAGAGAAGTTGAGAACTTCACAGGGAACTGAGTGGGAACCATAGCACTTTGAAAGAGAACAGTGAAGTTTGAGAACAATAATTAACTGCACTCATCTTTCCACTCACGCGTCTCCTCAGAGTTCGAGCCCCTGCTGTCCTGGACGTTCTGGACGGTTCCTCAGGAGTGGAGCGCCACAGATCCCAGCCTGGTCTACTCCACCACCTTGTCCACTGAGTGCTATGACGAGCAGCTCAGTGACAAATGTCTGACCCTGCTGCTGGGAACCTGGTACCGAAAACCCACCAGAACCAACCTTAACAAACTGAATGCCAACTGTAAACATCGCAACTATTATCACCACTATTACAGTCACTTTTAACACCACCAACACCAACGACCAATAAAACTACAACAAAAGTGGTTGTTGCCCCTGGGTTGCTGTTACTGAGATGATGATGTAACTTTCCTAGTGTGTAATCACATGCTCTCTCTCTCTCTCTCTCTCTCTCTCTCAAACAGGAAGATCAATGGGACGCCCTGCATCGTCACCAAGCCCTGCCGGGACACCATGACCCGCTTCGGTTGTCCACATTACTCCCTGTCCCACCAGCTGCTCTACTTCATAATCGGAAAAATGGTGAGTTGTACACAGAGCGTCAAAAAACACAAATCCTTTACCAGAACTTAGACATTTTTAGATCATTTTGACAACTGTGATAATTCTGCCTTTTTCGATAAATGCTTTAACTCCCAGTGTGATGGCATTTCTCCACAGAGAGGCTGTACCAACCTGCTGAAAGGTGACACTCGAGCTTCGAGGATCAACATGACGGAGAAGAACTATGAGAAGATCTTCTGCTCCAACATGATGAAGACCAACGAGGACATTGTCCAAAATGGCCTGAACCAGCAGAACGTGGACATCTTTGTGGAAAACAGTGAGAACCTCTGCCTCGCTTTTTGGAAATCTAGGAACATTAGGAACAGTTGACATTGGGAACACGGTCTTAACCTTTTCTGTTATTTCAAACTGTGACTTTTAAAGTCGAGCTTCTAAAAAAAAAATCATTTTCTGTCCCTTCTAGTCCTCATCTGTGGATTGGCTGGGTTTTCTGACTTCTTCAAAACGGATTGGCTGCAGCACATCCTGCGGCTGCAAGACGACGAGCTCGGCTGCTTCGGCAGAGACCGTGAGTTCAACCCTTTTTCCAAGATCGATCCTCATATTTGGAAACGTGTCATGCTCGGATTTTTTTAGGTGTCGAAGTTTGAAGTAGACAGAGACCGAGCTGACCTGAGGTCAGAGAACCACAGACATTTTAGCTGTTTAACGACAGATTGAATAAAGTTAGTCTTCTGTTTGTCCACGTCTTAGCTAATTCTGAGTTATCACCTGGTTTAACTCCTGGTCCATGATCCTGATCCAAGTTGAAACTGTGTTTCCGTAGAGAACATCATGTCTCAGATGATTGGAGACGAGCTGCTGGAACAGCTGCAGCCGCAGCTACAGCGCCGAGTGAAGAGGAGGGAGAAGGTCCTTCCAGGTCAGTCCTTCTGTGGAACGCCAACCTCAGGTTTAACAGCACTGGGTATAAAGGGGGAGGAAAAGTCCATAATGACCTTGAAAATGTCCGAAGTGTTCTTAAATTCTGCTCCCCGCTGACGTTGTGTTGGTTTATTTCCAGTTTTATGTTTTTCTTGTCTTTGTTTTCAGACGGCTGCTCCAGTCACATGACTGCGGTGGCGGTGGGCGCTCTGGGAGGATACCTCAACTACTTCCTTACAGAGCAGGACATCACCAAGAGGCCTCTCTCCTGAGGAAACACTGGAGACGAACTGGAATAAAACTATGATGTTTAAAATCATTTTACATTTCCATATCATTTATTTATTACAATAATAATAATATTAGAGCTTTCTGCAGATTGTTTTTGCAATGCTGTCATTTTGTTTGTCATTTCCTGTTTCCTGCTGTTGATCTGGATCAACTTTAAACAACATTTACACTAATCTTTACTTCTAGCTGTTAGTTTTTATCTGTGCTGTCAACAAGCTTTGCTTCATCATGATGATAATGTTATGTTTTATTCTTGTTCTTTGAGCTATGTTAATTACCCTTCAATGTTATGGCTAACATTTAGCTTGTCATTCTTATTCATTGTGTATCTAACCATTTTTAAAATGTTTTGACTTCCTTTCTGCTTTCTTCTCTGCTAACATGTACCTTACCTATCTTTTTACCTGTCTAAGGGTTTTGGTCTAGTTATAAAATGTGTCCAGAGCCCCCTGGTGGACACACATATACATTTTATTCCAAGGCCATCCCAGATAAACTGAGATTTACTGTCGTTTTAGAAAGTTAATCAACATTTGAAACCTCATTGAATACATCGAGTTTACTTTAGTCCCACGGTGTTTTTCTGTCTGAACTGAGCAGAAAACCACAGCTGTTACATCATGTTAGACACCCTTGCAAAATCGTAGCTCACCACAGAGAAGTGTCACAATAAGAGTGTGTGTGTGTGTGTGTGTGTGTAACATAAACTGTTGTTGACTCAGATAAGGATTAATGAATAAAACCAAATCTGGGAGTTTGGTTTTGATGGTTTGATGAACAGAGGCACAAACATTTAGAATTAATAAACATTTTCCTCTGCTGCGTGTGTGTGTGTGTGTGTGTGTGTGTGTGTGAGAGAGAGAGAGAGAGGAAGGGGGGAGAGAGGGAGAACACAGTGATCTGACCTTTCATCTTTCGATCTGGTTTAACCAAAGTAAACATGTCCAGGTCTGTGTTTCACTCTAAAGAGAATTCAATGATTAGTCAATAAAAAAGCTAAAAAAAAAAAAGAGGAGGAAAATATTAGACATGAGCTGAAGGATTAAGAACTTACTAAAAGTTAATCACTAGTCAAAAATGTTGCACAAACCTTTTAAACACTTTTAATAATAAGTATATTACAATATAAAAACAGCTAAATATAGATGTGCCTTTTGTGTATATTTATATATGTTTTTTTTAAACCTATCACTATTTTGGTAAAGACTAAATAAATACAAAATATTTTAACGTTTTCTACCAAAGTCATGTCCCGTCACAGCTCATGTCTGAGGGACAGAGACTGAGTTCAAACATGAGGAAAGACGGTCTTGGGTTCAGGTCCAGGTCTGGACTCGCTGTCTGTGTTTTGTTCTGTGCGTTAATGTTCACTGCTGACTTCACCTTCTCCTTGTCAGAGCGCCATCTCTGGCCACAGTCAGTCCCTGTTGTTTGGTTCATTAAAGCATCAACGACGATGACGACATCACTTGTTCCAGCCAATGACCTCGTAGAAAAGCGCCTTGACCAGACGAGCCTCGTAGGTGACGGTGTTCTTACCGATGTGGACCGGGCTTTCCTCCAGCGGCTGTTCGATCATGGCTGGAACCTCCCTCCCGTAGACTGCAGGGGGCGACATAAAGCACAGGCCACATCACTAGTTGGTTAAATAATCAACAGTGACACCAGACAAAAGGAAAAAAAGTTTTTTTTTTCCAAAGATGTGATTGGCTGAAACCTGCTGTCAAATCGGTTGGGAGGGGCTAAGGTTTAGGTTTTGTTTTTATGATTTATGGGCGTGTGTGTGTGTGTGTGTGTGTTTTCCTCACCCTCACAGTGCTCCAAGAACTGAATACACTCCTGAACCACAGCGTCTCGCAGCATCACCATGTGTTTGGACATGTTCTCCAGCAGAGAGAGGAAACAACGTTTGGCGTAGAACCACGTGTCTGTTCCCAGCTACAGACACACAGACACAGACACAGACAGACAGACAGACAGTTTGGTTTGGTTTCAGAGGAGGACGGATGTCGTCTCAGCTGCAGTCTGACTCCAGACCAATGTCAGTCAGAGGACGTACTTTCTGAACTGTTGTGGCTGCTTTACTGCAGATAAATGATCCACATCACTCTGGAACTTTACTGTAATTAAAGCATTACTGACGTGTAATTGAAACCCAGTGTAAATGAAGTATGTGAGTGTGGACAGAATCTAACGTCTGACCTTCTTGTTGTACGGCTCCAGGCTCTTGATGACTCTTGAAATCCCAAAGTCGTAGTTTCCTTTAGCGCAGTACAGCGTCCTGAAACAGAGAGAGACGATCAATGTCAGGAAATAAAATCATCTGCAGGAAAATATCTTTATTCATCTGCTCTTAAACCCACAACAACAACAACAACAACAACAAACATTCTCTGGTTCTCACCCGATCACCAGGTTCACGATGCACAAGTGAAAGACCTTTTTGTCTGGATCATCGTAGGAAATCTGCTCCTCCTCTTTCTCGATCTTCCTCATCAACTCCTCTGCCTAATCACCACGGAAACAATCGACAGCATTGGATAAGACACACACACACACACGTTTGTGTTTAAACAACAGCAGCGTTGTGTGTGTGTGTGTGTGTGTGACATTCACCGCCTCGTTCTGACTGGTCATGATGTAGGACACACACAGGTTGGCCAGGACCACAGCGCTCACGTTCAGAATCTACAGAGAAGAAGAAGAAGAAGAAGAAGAAGAAGAAGAAGTCAAAATAAAACAAACACGACGACAGCTCAACAAGACAAACTTTGGTCACGGCTTTGGAAAAAATAAATAACTAAATAAATAAAATGACATCCTGATTATTTATCGAGCGCCATCTGTGGTCACACCAAAACAAAAAAAAAAGTTAGAACCTTGAGTTATCTACAGCCTTTTTTAGGGACAGTTGTTGGTAATTTCCGATCACATATTTTCTCTCACCAAGCTTTTGTTTCAGGAGGTTTTGTCCAACAATTTGCACACAGTGCACACAAGGAGTCAAAGAGTCAAAATCACACACAAACACAGTCGGAGTCAAAATCACACACAAACACAGTCGGAGTCAAAATCACACACAAACACAGTCGGAGTCAAAATCACACACAAACACAGTCGGAGTCAAAATCACACACAAACACAGTCGGAGTCAAAATCACACACAAACACAGCAAATCCTCTCCAAACTCAGACACAGCAGAGATCTTTGGTCTCTGGTTTTTACCGAGGGTTTGCACTTGCAGGGACACTCCTGAATGTTACACTGCTCCACCTGGACAGAAGGTCAGAGCCAACAGATGGACAACAGCCTTCACCATCGTTATTATCATTACATTCAACTTGTTGATGAGCTTCCTCCTTCTGATAAATCAACTGTAAAAGTTTGAGTTTCCTCATCAGTAAAGATATAGAAAACAAAAATGCTGTGGCTTCAAACCCGACTTCCTCTCTCACTTCCAGCTCCATGTGAACGACCCTCACACCTCCAAACCCCCACCACCGCAGACAGAAGAACTCACGTTATCGTAGTGCTTCTTGACGATGGATTCGTACAAGCCGTTGGCCTCTTGGTACTTGTTCTGCATGAAGAGAACGTGCGCCACGTTCAGCTTCCAGGTGTCGTACTCGTTGCAGACATCCATGGACTTGCGGAAGATCTTCTCCACCATCTGAAAATTTTCTCGGTTCCAGTAGATCTTGGCCTGAGCCATGAGGACCACGATGTACCTGGTGGGAAGTACGGAGATAAAGGTTTCTGTGACGTGAGAGTTGAAAATAAACCATGACACGGCAGCTGCTGATCCACAGGTTTGTTGTAGTTTGGTCTCTCTCTATGCTAAGCTAAAATCTTCCCTGTCTATTTAAAAAAACAACATAACTGATTTTTAGTACAGTAGACTTGTGGGGGTGTTAAAGGTCACATTACGGAGCCCCTCTCTGGACCCCTCTCATGACAGATTGTGTGTGTGTGTGTGTACATATGGGTGTGTGTTTCTCTCACTTCTCGTGCATCAGGTCATATTCGGCCAGTGTTTTCTTCTGAGCTTCATCGTCACGAGCCAATCTGGACTCCTGCAGCTGAGACGAAGACAAGCATCATATTACACACATACCTGTGTCTGTTACTGTTGTTGTTGTTGTTGTTGTTGATGTGACAGCGGTCGTCATCACCTGTTTGCTCAGTTTCCGCAGCTGTTCGGTCAGTTTGGCGTTCATCTCGTCAAATTTCCTAAATGCCTGGACAAAAAAAAAAAAAAATAGAGACAAAAGGAAATAAATGCAGCTGCAGCTGCAGCTACGTCCAGTCACAGTGAGGGAGTGTGTGTGCTGTGTGGTCACCTCCTCTGGTGCAGTCTGACAGGTCAACAGGGCGTCCAGGAACTCGTACATGTACTGGAGAAGATCGACAACATTTCAGCCTCAAACAAAATTGAACCGGCGATTATTTTGAGATTATTCTGCTCTCAGGTATATTTCTTTTTATCTAAAATGTACTTTTATTACTGTCTCTGAACAGACTTGAACTGCTTTATAGCTAACCTTCTTAATGTCAATGTTAGTCTAATAATTTTGGCTTAAATTCAGCCTTTTCTTAAGCTAACCTTTGACCCGTTAATTTGCTATTTTTTTATCTCAAGTTTACTAAAATATGTGCTGACAATTTCCCTTATATTGCTAACTTTAGCCTATTTTTGGCTACTGAATATATTCACTAATAATAATAAAATGATTGACTATAATTTGTCTTCTTTTAGCCACTTTGCTAACCTCAAGAGGTTTTTTTAAAAAAACATTCCACAGTTGCAGCTAATTTTAAACTGTTTTTGAGCGAAGTTTTATCTACTATCTGTCACTTTTACTTATTTTACAGACGAAGGAAATACACAGACTCACCGGGGAGAGAAATTTGTAGGTGAGGTGAGCGTTTTCTGCCAAGACGTCAGCTGCCAGGTCAAAGTACTAACACAGACAGGGACACAGACGAGACACAGACACAGACAGGGAAACAGAGTGAGATTAGAAAGAGAGACAAAGACAGAGAGATACAGTGATTTCAAAGAGTGAAATGTATCTAAATGTGTCTCTGGTGAAGTCTGAGGTGACGTCCAAACCCAAACCCGGACCCGGACCTCCTGGTTACCTCATGTTTGCAGTAGAGCAGCAGTAGGTTTCCAAAGGTGACCGGAGGAAATGACGCCTGCTGCAGAAGGAAGGCCATCTTCTCAAACCCCTCTGAAGGCTTGGTGTCCATGTTGACCAGCGCCTGGTTGTGGAGCGTGACTGGGTCGAGTTCCTGAGAAAACATCAGGAAGAGAGAAAACAGAAAAATGTGTTAAAGTTTGTCTCCCTTAGAAACAGACACACACACGTACACACACACACCTCTTCTGCTCTGGGTGGCATGTCTGTCAAAGCCTCTTGAGCTTCTTTCACTGAAACAAACAAACAGAAAAAGAGAGATAATTACATATACATCACACCTGGGTGTGTGAATGTGTGTTTGTGAAACAATGACCAGAGCTAACACACACACACACACATATATTTGCAGCTTTTTGTGTGTATAAAATCAGAAGTCACTGAGCTGCGACAGAAGCAGAACCATGGATGGAGAAGTTCTCACGTTTCTTCAGCTGGTAGTCGATGGCGGCTTTGAGGTTAAAGGCTTCTATCAACGCCGTCTGCTGAAGCACCAGTGTGTTTCCCACACTGTGGACATCGATGCCTTCAGTGGCCATCCCTACACTCAGCTCTGCAAGTGTCAGGAGACAAAGGACAATAGATGTATTTTTTTAATCCTTATGTTTTACAAATACATTATTTTTGTATGTAAAAAAAAAAGATGATTAAAAAAGGTTAAAGTGCTGACGTAGAGGTGCACGTCTGCTGTGATTGGCTGGTACCTGGATGTTGCCTGATGCCGTGGTCTATGATCTCTCCGATGTGTTTGAGGGCCTGGTCGTAGTTCTTCAGGCTGTAGTGACACAGAGCCACGTTGTAGGACAGTGCTGAGGAGAGAGGATACGAACCTGGTGTAAACTCATCAGTTCATGTTAGATAGACTATCCTGTGTATGTGCGTGTTTGTTCGTACCAGGCACGTATCCCAGCACTTGTAAGGCGGACATGAACTTCTTACAGGCGTCCTCATACTTCCCATCCTGGTAGAGGAGGCAGCCCAGATTGTAGATGTAGTCTGGGTCGTCCTGGGGGAGCTGCTCCAGCAGAGACTGCAGCACAAACGTTAGCCAAGAATGCTGTTAAGACAAGCTAAAAATCTACACTAACAGCTGACTGAAGAATAGCCAAAATACAATGCATCTGAATGTGGACAAACCAAAATCTTAGGGTAAAGTTAGGGTCAAAATGAGTAAAACAATCTCTAACATGGGTTTATTATTGACCTTATTTTCTGTACAAGCTTCCTTTGCTTGTTGTTTGGTTGGTTTGAGACATTGGATTTATTTCAAAATATACGTTGCATCACCTATGGCCACAAGAGGGCATCGTTTACAACGACAACTGAACACTGGCACTACACCACTGTAAAATGATAAGACTAAAACAACAGCAAAATGCCCAAAAAATACCAAAAATAAAAACTAATTCTACAGACACAATTTCTTTCATAAAGATTTTTGAAAAATAAATCAATGTTTTAAATAATTAATACTACCAATAATACACTGAAATCAATAATAAAAGGTTAGAATAGAACAGAATAGTCTTGATTGTTATTGTTACACGGGAGTACAACGAAATCATCACCTTGGCAGCAGAATAATCTTCTTCACAGTATTTGATACAGGACTGGAGCTTCAGCATCTGCAGTGAGGGCGAGGGAACAGAGGGGGGCAGTGAGAGGGGGGGGTCTTTGACTCTGATGTCTCAGATTTGTTATCCATCTCATCGGCTTCCTGTCAAAGACAAAGTCCATGCAGTGTGCAGCGTACCTTAGTGTGGTTGCTGCTGTTGTCCAGGGCGAACGTGGCCTTCGTGGCCTCAGGAAAGGCGCCGGACTTGTACAGGGACTGGGCGTAGTAGAGCTTGTAGTCCTCCACCTCTGGGTGGAGCTGTGTGAGCTGCTCGTAGCAGTCGGCAGCATTGCTGAAGTCCTGGATGTGGTAGTAGCAGTAACCCAGCAGAGACAGCGCTGCCCTGGACTGGAACACATCAGACCCAACAATTCAGGCTTGCTATGGTACCATGAGACCATTTATCCTGTCTGACTTGACAGCATACAGTGCAAGTCATTAAATCTGAAGTTGTGCAGAAGGAATCCATGATTTTAACTGTCCTATAAAAAGGCACAAGAAATCTAGAACTATTCAACATTTAAGCGGCCAATAGGTTCAAGCATGAAAAACCAAAACACTGAGATTCAAACTCGAGGCTGTTACAGCACGAACTTTACCTTTGTGTGTTTCTGCAGCTGAGCATTGAGAATGTGAATGGCCTCATTGTAGTGGCTTTCTTTAATCTGAAAGACATGACAAAAGGAATGTAACCCGAAATGACAACAGGTTGTGATCATTTATATATATAAAAAAAACATTAACCACAACAAAGAGATAAAGTCGTTCAAAGTAAAATGACACCAACTAAATTAATCAGTCATATTCCTGACATAATTCTCCACTTCAGCGATATTATTTTTTATCTTGTTTTTATGTGTTCTCGTCTATTACTTATATTATACTCCCACGTAATAGGCTGGAAACATGTCACATGGGAACAGATGCCTTCAGGGTTCATAAAAAACAACTCTGGTACAAATTAACATTCACGAAATGTTCAAATTAATATACATTAGCCTTTTTTGGAGTTATCACTCGAACAAAGGGACATATTAACATGCAATTACCATAATGAAGGTATATTTGACAACGATGTTCGGAACACAAACAGTAACATTTCACATATGCTGTAAGGAGAGCGTTAGCATCAGCGACTAAAGTGGAATAAAAAGAAACAAAAACCTCCTCACCAATTTATAAATGGTAGCCGTGAACTCGCCGTCTTTTATTGTCGTCATGTTTTTCAAACCGTCTGTTTTACGCAACTGTAAAAAAGACCAAGTTCCGTTACACACATCGTACTATCGAGCTAACATGCTAACGGCTATTAGAGCCGAACTACTGTCACTAGAACAGATGCCTTCAGGGTTCATAAAAACAACTCTGGTACAAATGAACATTCACGAAACGTACAAATTAACATTCACGAAATGTTCAAATTAATATACATTAGCCTTTTTTGGAGTTATCACTCGAACAAAGGGACATATTAACATGCAATTACCATAATGAAGGTATATTTGACAACGATGTTCGGAACACAAACAGTAACATTTCACATATGCTGTAAGGAGAGCGTTAGCATCAGCGACTAAAGTGGAATAAACAGAAACAAAACCCTCCTCACCAGTTTATAAATGGTAGCCGTGAACTCGCCGTCTTTTATTGTCGTCATGTTTTTCAAACCGTCTGTTTTACGCAACTGTAAAAAAGACCAAGTTCCGTTACACACATCGTACTATCGAGCTAACATGCTAACGGCTATTAGAGCCGAACTACTGTCACTAAGCAACAACAGCCAAATCCCAAATACAATAGACTAGTGATTTAACAGCCAATCGGATGACAGAACACTGATACATAGCCAATCAAAAACAGTACCTTGTGGCAGCTTCGTTTCTTCGCTTCGTTTTTTGGCCAATTTCTTTTTTTTTTTTAAACCAAGTAAATCTTTGATTGTAAAACTGGAGAAGGCACAATTTTTTATTAGTTGTTAAGAAAAAAATCTTTTGTTTTCCTATGGTTTTTGGCCATTTTTGAGTCAGTTTGGACTTATCTTTTTTTTTAATTTTTCCTTACCCTGAATCTTATTCCTTCTACAGTAACTTAATCTTAGCATTTTCTTTTTTTTTTTGACTTCACGCTGACTTTTATGACTTTATGACCTGGCCTTTATTATACTGTATTGATACTTTCATTTTCCTTTTTACAGAAAAAAAAAACACAAAGACTAGTGACATTACAAAGCAATGACCTCACACACACACACACACACACATACTCAGTGTTCACAAACAGACTAAAGGTGCTGGAGCTTTGCCTTAAACCTAAACCACACTATGCTGACCACTGGGCCTCTATAATGACGGAGGGTGTGTGTGAGTGTGTGTGTGTGTGTATATATAAATGAGCGTTCTTGCTTTTTAGCAGCAGTTTCTCAGTGTGTCTCTGGTCCTCGTGCCGTCTGGTTCTCGGGTCTTCTCACAGAAGAGGTTGGTATCATTTAGTTTGTCTCAGCGGGTTTTCTGAACTCTCCCTTCAGTGGAGGATTTCTTTGAGGATAAGAAAGAGTTGACGCTGGTCCAGGATTGGTGGTTGCTCTTGAATCCCAGTGGACAAAGAAGAGGGTTGGAGACATTCTTTGGTTTGTCACAAATAACGTCTGGCCAGTTGTAGCAGAGGCGTGGATGCATGACCAGTGAAAGTTTGAATTGTTGTTGACAAATTTTTCTAAAGTAAGTTTTCACTTGCAGTCCCTGAATTGGCCACTAGCTTTTTTTTTCTCTGTACGATGAAGTAGAGACTCTTAACGACTCTGCCGATGGAGAGTTAGTGGTTGTTACAGTGAGCAGATGTTTCCTCCTGCAGACTCACAGCTGGACGGACCATCAGCTCCAACCACGCTTCAGTCTGACCTTCATGGAACCACTTTTCTCCGTCTGCGGTCACTTCAGAAAGGAAACAGCAGATTCCTGGTGGCCTAATGTAGAGTCTCGCCGTTTCTCCTCTGCGGTCGTTTTATTTCTGTCTGATTGTCCAAACAGAGAATTAAATAACAGGGGAATGGTTTTAGGGATATGGGTTTTTGCACCGGGAATTATGTTTGAGGTCCTTTTAAGTTCAACCTGAGCCCTGAGTCAGTTGGACCACAGCCGATTAAGTCCAACTCAGGAAAAGTCAGATTAAGCTGGACCAGCGTGGCTAAAATCAGCTAAATATTTGAGTATAAACAACGTAGCATGGTGCTTTTAGCCAAATATATCACCAAGATCTAAAGTGTGTTGTCATTTACTGGCAGGTGCTGCTGACACCATGACTTTCAAACCCACTGTTCTGCTTGTGCTGACCCTAACTCTGGTGTCGGTTCTGGCCCAGAGGCGGCGCCCAGTGTCCACTAACACCGAGGAGTGGAACTACAGGGATGGCTGTGAGCCCCCCCCACCCCCCCTCTTCTTTTCTGTCTCTTCACCCCAGCTCACAGTTTTTCCCTCCACTGACTACACTTTCTGTTTTCTGTCTTTCACAGCCGAACGGGTGAACATGCGGGGCGTGGCAAACCTGACGCAGATTCTGGACAACTGGAGGTTTGACATCCTGAGCCAGATGAGAGGACTTCTGCAGAACGACCACCAGGCCCTGCTGCCGGACTACGCTAGGTTAACCCAGAAATCCTAGAAGTTGCCCAAACATAGAAGATAATAGTTGGTAGGAATAGCTAACAGGTGAACAATGCTAGAAATGAGGCTGAAGAAGTCAAATATATTAAAACAAAATATTAGATATTACCCAGACAGATCACTGAAAGCTGACCCAGAATACCATAAAAAGGATCTAAACAGTCATTTAAAGTTATTTGGCATGTTGCTATCGGTTAGCCTTAGCTTCCGCCAAAGCATCTTCCCCTGTGTGCATCTCCTCAAGCCTGGCGGCAGTGACTGACCACAGGAAGTTTATGCTTCAGGCTGGAAAAATAAAGTCTAACCCACTTCTGTCCTCGTGAGAACCTGCAGCTGAAACTGCCCATTAGAAATGAGACTGTATAAAGGAGGTGAAGGAGCAGAGCTCCAGACTTTCCACAGAGAGTCCGGATGTTTCCTGCACCTCACCACAGCCCAGAACCAGAGACGTCATCGCGGTCCAGAACCGAAACCCAGAGAAGCCACAACGTCACAAAGTGACCTGTTTGTTTTCAGTCAAATCTGTGTTTAATAATTTCAAGTCCTCTTCTCTTCTTTCTCTGTCCAGAATCCAGCCGCTGGCCGAGGCTTTGGACGACCTGTACAAGGAGTTCAATGCCCTCAAAGTTCACCTGGGCGATCTAACGGAGAAGTTCACCGCCATCGAATCGTTCATCGACGAGGTCAAGGCCGGCCGAGCTGCCCAAACGAACGCAGGCCCGGCCGCTGCAGGCCCAGCTCAGGGGGGCGCCACTGTCCCCAGACAGAATACAAGGAGGGTGATGAAGAAGAAGATGACCTCCAGCGCCGCCGCCGCCACCGCCGCCGCCTCATAACCAGTGGATGAAGAGCGCCATCTCCTCTCGTGCTTCTTGTGTCTCACTGTTTGAGTCCAACAGATTCTTTCATTACTTGGTTCAATTCTTGCCTGAATTGAATTTTCTAGATGTACTCACCTCCTGAAAACGCTTTCTGCCACTGAACTCTGTCTCTGTCTTTATGTACACGGTATTACCGCTGAATAAAATCACCTGCATCCACACGTGGTTTGTCTTCAACTTTTAACTCTGCCTTTAAACCAGTATTTATTCCGACAGACAGACTTGATTTGACGGAACTCTTGGACTCTTTTACCACTGACCTGGTTTTTCTGTGTCATTTGTGTTACTTTTTGTCTCATCCTGGTCTTTTTTTTTGTCTCTTTGTGGTTAATCAGTCTATTTGCTGTAAATGTGGGTTGATTTCTCGCGTCTTTATGATTGTTATCTCTCTCTGTGGTAGTGCAGCGTCTGTCGGTGTTGAATCTGCGTCTGTGATGTCGTAGTTCTGTCTACTTGTGGTAATGTTGCGAGTCCTGGTGGTAGTTCTGTGTCTCCCTGTTGTCACTGTGATGATTGTGTTGTCACTCGTCGGAGTCGGCGTGGGCGGAGTGTCGGGTGTGTTGACCTCACGGCGTTGGTGTGGTTTGTGCTGGTGGTAAAAAAAGCATCCGTGGTATGTGAGTGGTTATGCTGGTGGAAGGCGGAGAACTTACCTGACAGGTGATTAGGCCGGCCCCTCCACTTCACTGCTGTTGGTTTCCACACAAGGCAGAGTGAAGAAGAAAGCATGGAGGCGAGGTGGCTGCTGTGTGCTGTGATTCTGTTGGGCTTCAGGGTGACAGGTGAGAGTCCCTTCTGCTTCTCATCAACACGTTTACTGGGGGGGGGGGGGGGGCAGGAGGAGGGGTCGCTCGGACGTCTATTCTAATGATGTATAGGGAACTAAAAAGTTCTTTGTATTGGTCATTGATCCATGTGTTGATCCAAGTTTTCATCCGAACTAAAGACCCAATATTTATGTCTGTACTGCGGTCTGTACTGTCTCTGAACACTGACTCTAGTTTGTCAACTCAACTTACAGAGTGGAAACAGTGACATTTTCAGTGGTGACCACTTTGTTATAATTCATAGCTAATGTCCAGTTAAAGGATTTGATGTGTTTAAAACCTGAGCTCAGCTCCAGAACTGACTGTTTTTGGGTTTTTTTTGTTTTGTTTTTTAAATTAAATTTAAATTTAAATTAACATCTTCTCCGGTGAATCCACTTCCAGGAGGGTTTTTTTGTTTTGTTTTTTAAATTAACATCTTCTCTGGGGGGAAACCACTTCCAGGAGGGATTTAAAAGTAAACAAAGAAACGCCTGTAACTTTGCATTTTTCTTTCCGTGTCGAAAAGGAAGTGATTATTAAACTTGCAAAGCGCCGATGTCGCTGTAGGTACAGGTGACTCAGAGCCGGGGAGTTTTGTTCATCAGATTGATGAACTATCAGATCATCAGATATTTAAAGGAGGAGTCTGGGTTTTTTTTTTTTTTTTTACATCATTCAGATTAAAGCGACTAAAAGCAGCTTCCCAGAAACAGAACAGAAAGGTTCTAGAAAAATACCACAGTGGTTGGTGACAGGACTAACAGTGGGAGTGGTCACTATCAACAGGCCTCGATCTCTGTGTGTTGTGTGTCAATAAACACGTAAAACCACAGAGCGTCCAAAGACCAGAAGATCCAGAGTAGCCAGTTTGGAGACAACAGAGGAGGATTTATATAGCCGTCTACTGCCGTGTATTCATTGGTCGACCTGTAAATGGCACATGGATAAACAAAGAAAAATTACTAACAGTAGATAATAATCATAATAATAACAGTTTTCAAATCAATTAATCGTTATTGCATCATTTTCCTCGGTTACACCTGACGATCTAACGTGGTTAGGAACCACTGGACCGGACCAAACAAGGCCTGACTACACTACACTTGGCTGTTGTTCAGTAGGCAGTGCTGGGGTCTCACACAGGGCAGGATGTGGGTTCAACTCCAGACCTCGTAGTTAATATGCCTGTAGTGTAAAGCTGAGTTTCCCAAACTGTTTTTTTGGGGACCCATTTTTTAAAAAGTCACAAACTTTCGCGACCCAAGTCAATGGACATCATTTGTAAATCACAAAATAAAGGTGGACTTGACCAGTATTGAACATCAAAGAGGATATTTTATTGTCGATCCAGTGACCTCTATCTGAACAATTAGTTACTCAAGTTTTAAACACTCACAGCTTTTAAACTGGCAGCTATTCTGAGGTTGGATGCAGACAGCTGTTGGATGCAGACAGCTGTTGGATGCGATGACCGTGACAACCCCAAAAAAAAAACCCAAAACCCTTGCGACCCACCTGAGGGTCGCGACCCAGTCTCTGGGAAACTCTGGGTGTTTTTCCGACTTCTCTGTAAAGACAACAGCACAGGAGGCACCTTCCAAGAAAGTTCATTCATACATCAAGTTCATTTGTTTGTGTCTCCGTCACACTGAGCAACAAAACCAGTCCGTTCAGTCTGTCTCCGACTGTGGGTGTGTGTGAGTGAGTGAAGGGGGAGTTTAGGTGTGTGACTGTACGTCTGTGTGTAAGGGGGGGGGGGGGGGGGGGTGCGTGTAAGCTCAGGACAGAGTGACATCACCTCCTTGGTGTTTGGTGATGTGAAAAGACAAAGTTGTGTGTCTTCAGTTTGTCGTCATGTTTCTTTTCCTTCACCTGTTCATTGGTCACAGAGGCTTCACAGAGTGTGAAGGAAAACAAATGCTGAAAATAACATTTATGGTCTGTTTGGTCTATGTCTCCTGCAGGAAACCAGGCACAGTCAGACGGTGAGTTCGACTGTTCGTTCTTCTGACAATGACAACTTCATCAAAGTCACAAAACAATCATTTGGGAAGTCGATGATTAAAGCTCACTGACCAAAGTCCGTGGAGAAAACCAGTGATTTTAGCCTGTCTGAATATTAGCCGATATTTGTCCAAAGACTTAACTTCCGATTACGATATCAACCAATACCAATATAGGTCTGGTAATGTTTATTTATTTATCTGTACAAACCACTGTATGAGTTCTGTGTATAATCCCCTGATTATTAAAACAAATTAATATAATTAGCCACAATGCTGCCATCTAGTGACTCTAGTCACTTTAATATACAGCCATTTATCCCCCAAACTATTTTTAGAGCAGACATCATTTGGTGAAACCCAGGCATTCCGATATCGGGTTTTCATTATTGGAGGAAAATTCAATAACGATTCTTTGGAGATTGGCTGATGTTATTGTACATCCCTAGTCATAATGATTCAAATTCAAACAAAAGTCTGAGACTGTGGCGTCTGGAAACCATTTGACTGTTGACCCTTGAATCACTGGTCTTCTGCATGGACTTCCTGTGAGACAGTGTGTGAACTTATCTGCGGTCGTTCTTCTTCTCCCTCCAGTCTGTGGCACGGCACCACTCAACAACAAAATCGTCGGCGGTGAGGATGCATCTGCAGGGATGTGGCCCTGGCAGGTCAGTCTGCACCAGTCCGGCAGCCATGTCTGTGGAGGCTCGCTCATCAACAACCGGTGGATCCTGACTGCTGCTCACTGTTTTGAAGAGTGAGTGGTTCTCCTGTCCGCAGAGAAAGAGGAGAAAAGTCTTATAGCTCGCTCAAACTACATTCATGAATCAGGGCTTTTTGTTTGTGGTGCATTTTCTTCTCCTCATGGACTCATCAGATGTGTACATGTTATCGGGTATCAGTTTTGTTTTTGTTGTTTTTGTTGCAGCACCAGCACATTTGATTGGGTGGTTTACCTGGGGCGTGAAAGCCAACAGGGCCTGAACTTGAACGAGGTGTCCAGAGGTCTGGAGGAGGTCATCAAACATCCAGACTATGATAAAAACTCAAAAGACAACGACATTTGTTTACTGAAACTGTCGTCCACGGTGGACTTCACAAACTACATCAGACCCGTGTGCCTGGCGGCGCCCGGAAGCTCCTTTACAGGTGGAACTTCCTGTTGGGTCACCGGCTGGGGGAACATACGAAGTGGCGGTGAGTACGGTGGCTGTCGAACAGACACAAAAGAAAACCTAAAGACCTAAGATCTTCCACAACGACCTCAGAGGTCACCTCTGGAAAATATTTACATTTGGAACGAGTGCAAACATTTAAATTTGCAGTTTTTTCACTGCAGAGATTTTCATCATTTTGATTGGTTCATCCGTTGCCTAGCGATACACAACAGACCGCTTTAAAGGCAGGTAAAGAGAGTTCTACGGCTACAGCGCCACATAGTGGTGGTCACAGTAATGAACCTGGCCGGGTCGTTGCATTAAACCTTTGAACTCGCTGATTATTACTCACATTTGTGTTTTATCATTACATCTTCCAATGGGCAGGGTCACACAGGGGCGGGGGGGGAGGGGGGGGGCAGGGATAGTAGCCTTTTTGAAAGTCCATATATGGAGACAAACAGAAGATTCCAATTTAATACAGGAACATCATTAAAAGATGGTTTTGTTGCTGAAAGCCAAGAGCTGGTTGTATAGTTTTGCCTCTAAAGTCTCCGTTCCCCTGTAGTCCCCCTCACTTTCCCAGGGAGACTCCAGGAAGTGAACATTCCCATCGTGTCCACCAGTCAGTGCAGCGACACCTACACTCTCACCGCCAACATGATCTGTGCTGGTGTTCCTGAGGGAGGAAAAGACTCCTGTCAGGTGAGTCCTTTATCTGCAAACCCAGGTCCAGTGAGTCTGGTTTTGGAGAGGTGTTTATAAACCCGCTCGCCGAGCTGACAAAGTTTTTTATAATAATCGTGATTGATGCCCCTGGAAGGCGCCAAGAATGTGGTTCCTCTGGGAATCAAACCCAGGACTCTCTGGGGAGGCGTGCTAACTGCTACACTGTGGAACCGAGCGACAGATTGTATACAGTTATAGTCAGTATCGTCACAGCGTCCAGGTCTGTTCCATCTGGACACTGCTAAGCTGAAACATTAAAGGCGATATCCTGCCCCCTGGTGGTCAATTCTTACTCCTATAGGAACAGAGACAAGCCTTTGTTATCCACTGATTATTTTGCTAAAAAAAACTTTTAAAAAAAGTGTTAAGTGTCTATGCTGACTTCAGTGTGCGCCCCCTGCAGGGTGACTCCGGTGGCCCCCTGGTGAGTAAAACGGGCGCCACCTGGGTCCAGGCTGGAGTGGTGAGCTTTGGAAGACTTTGTGCTGTGCCAAACACGCCAGGAGTCTACGCCCGTGTGTCCTCATACCAGAGCTGGATCAACAGCCACGTCACCACCAACCGGCCAGGCTACGTCACCTTCCAGGGCAGCGGGGTCGGTAGTGATGGTGGAACCAATGCTGCCGTCCAAAGCTCCACCCTCTCCCTCACGCTGCTACTGTCCGTCCCACCTGTCCTCTTCACTGTCTTCATCCTCTCGTAGGAGGTCAGAGACTGACCTTCTGTTTGTCTCTACAGCAGCTTCATCTTTCATCGTCTGTTACGGAATTAAATACATTCAATTGTTGCCCATGTTAAGTACATAGGCAATGAAACACACACACACACACACACACTTGGCAGTGGCAGATTCATTGATCATCATCACTTTTTACAAAAATTATAAAACCACGTGTCGCCCCCTAGCGGCTGACTGCTGCCTACTTAAAGGCACATCTTGAAATAATGTCTTCAACCTGCTGCTAAAATACTGTCTATGATTAATGTACCGTTACATAACTAATCAACCTGTGATGTATTATAACTAGATGGGATTAAATCCTGGATTTATCTGGAACGTTAACCAGAATTAATTAACTCTTTAATCATTTACACTTCCTGTCCTGTTAAGGCTTCCTGTCACCTCCAAATTAAGAATGGATTATGCAAGTGACAAATACGAGTGCTTCAACATTTTGAAAACAATACTAACGACTCCATATGAAGTAGAATTATTTTTTTTTCCTTGTTTTTGACTTGGCAGTTTAGAGTCAGAGTAATTGCACTGCTTGTTTTAAGTAAAGTTTAAAAAATAAAACAATTCAAATTTTTATTTTTTTACGATTTATTTAACTAAAAGACACATAGACATAGTCATTTTATATAAATTGTATGAAAAAGAATTGTGCCCATATGTAAATCAATGCATGAAAGAAACAGAACTCTGTAATTGATGTAGTATAGTGTATCGGCCAAACGAGGGCGCTGCATCAGGCGTGTTCTGTCTGTAGTAGGCACACTAGTGCACAAACCAAAGAATGTTTGCGACCAAATTTAGTTTTTGAGCTCAGTTTGTAAAATGTCTGGGTGTTTTTTCTTTTTTTCTTCAGTGACGTTTGTCTGTGAAAATGTTCTGATTCCATGAAGGAAGAGCAATGTTTGAATTTGAAGTTGCCTAAACCGTTTTACCTCCAATGATTTTGTTTCCTACTGTGATAGATGTCTGACACTGTTTCGACAGAAATGTCATTAAAATTATACCTGGAAAAAATGTGATGTGCAATCTGCATTTTTACAGTAGTGAAGTAACTACAGTGACCGGGCCAATCATCTGAAGCCACAGCAGCAGGATGTGTTTACGGGAAGAACCCATAGAATGTATTAAAATTAATTAAGTATTTAACCTTAGATACAATATTGATTAGCGTAGAATTAAATATATATATATATATAGGTGACAAAAAAAATGATATCATCAAAAAACTACCTCAGAAAAACAAACCTGAAAAAGACAAAGAAAACAGCGAGAACCAATCAGTGTTCATCTGAAGACACGCCTTCCTCTCCTGTCAACACATTTATCACGTGTGGATTCTGAGAGTTCACAGTGACAACGGTTGGTATGCTCCTGGTTTTGTGAGAAATGGCGCCCTCTGCAGGCACCAATGTTGCCCATTTCCTACCGTTCTTTCCTCCAAACCTGTTCTCCTGAGATGTAGGTGGCGCTGACGTTGAGGTGGTCGTCCAGCAGCGTGAAGTCTGAAAAAAAACAAAACAAAAAAAACAAGTGTCTGTGTTTCACGTCTTCACAGACGACCATGATCCATGAGTGTGTGTGTGTGTTCAGCAGATTCTGACCTGCGTCTGAGCCGTAGTTCAGGTTTCCTTTCCTGTGTTCAATTCCTAGAAGTTGAGCAGGATGAAGAGAAGCAGCTTCTAGAGCTTCTTCAACACTGCAGCCTATGAACACACACACACAAATAACACACACACAAACACAACTGAAGTGTTTTGGAGCGACTCTTTTACTCCTCAGCACACACACGTACACGTACACGTCCACACACCTGACGCCTGTTTGAAGTGTCTCACACACATGTCCATGGTGGCGATGCTTCCACTCAGCGTCTTTGTACCTGAGAGACAAAAACATTCTGTGTTTGGTAAATGTGTGTGTCTCTGTGTGTGTGTGTGTGAGACACAGCCAGTGAAAGTCCAACCTGCCACGTAAGCGTGCAGACCCTGGATCTCGATGACCTGCTGACCCAGAGTGTGTCGGCCCGGAGGAAGACCCATGGCTGCAATGGCGTCGGTCACCAGAACCAAACCTACAGGGATCCAAGTCAGAACAAGTCAGAGATCTGACCAGCAGGGGGAGCTGTAACATGCTTTATACTGGATTCAAACGGGAAAGTTCTGCGGTAAAATGTGACAAGGATGTTCAGTGGTCTACCTGCAGGGTGCGCTCTGTGTGCAATCCGCAGCGCAGCTGGGTTTGTGTGGACGCCGTCGGCGATCATTCCGTAGTAAACGGTTCTTCCCGCAGGAATCTGATCGCTGGTCAGCAGGCCCACGATTCCTGGGTCCCGGTGGTGGAACTGATGGAAAACAAACGGTCACCAAGACGGAGGGACACAGACGTGGACTGGGATGGACGGGTGTGTCCCACTCACAGGCAGCATGGCGTTGAACAGATGAGTGATGAAGGACGCGCCGCACTTGACCGCGTCCTCCGCCTGAGACAGGTTCGCTACAGAGTGTCCTACGTGACGGGAACATCAGTAAAAACAGGAAGTGAAGCCACTAAAATCCAAACAGGCGACCGTTTTTCACGTCACATCTTCTCTTGTTTTTTTTCTAGTCAAACATTTTACTCTTGTCATTCTTCATATTTTGATTTTACCTTATGCCTTTTAGTGGCTAACATTTAGCAACCTTTTGGCTAAAGTTCATTTTCATTAGTTCATATTTAGTTAACATCAGGTGTTAGTTTTTGCTTGAACTTTATTTGTTCTTTGTGGAAGTTTTACTAATAACGTGGCCGTTACCGCTAGGTTTTGTTGTGCTATCATTTACGGCAAATATGTTAGCATTTTTATTAAAAACAGTGCTCACCTAACGAGACGGTGATGCCCCTCCCACACAGCTCCCTCACCACTAATTGGCTGCCGTTCAGCTCTGGGGCCAGGGTCACCACGGCAACGTTGTCCAGACTGCCGTAGACCTCCTTCAGCTTCAGAACCGGGTCAGACTTGAAGGATCTGATGTACTTGTGAAGGTGGGCTCCTTTCTTCTCCTCACTGATGAAGGGACCCTCGAGGTGAAAACCTGGGGGGTCACATGTCCAGTTAAAGAGTGCTAGACTGGCAGAGACTTTCACTAAAGGTAAAAATTCAAACTAATCTTCCACTTTTCAGCAGTAGAGGGCAGCCCTTTACGGCTGGTGATGGAGATGCTACTGCGCTGGACTGGTGCACTCACCGAGAACTCCAGCTCCATGACGTCCTCCGTTGTGGACTTTAACCTGAGGTAGAACCTAAAAAAAAAAAAAAAAAAAAAATTTCAAAAGAAGGGTTAACGCCTCCTAGTGGCAGTCTCTATGGGTAATAGTTCAGCTTTTACTGTTTAATGTGAGCCACGAAGTTATCAAATAAAAACAGAGTTTAGAGACAAATGGTTAAAAGAAAAGGTGAAAGGAAGCTGACGTAGATCAAATTCACCAAAACTACATCAAACATCAGATTTAGCGCCTCAGGTTAGCACTGCAACGGCTAACGGTTAACTCAGTGTTGTAAAATGAAGCTGACCTTGTGGTAGACGGAGCAGGGTGACGTGACCAGGGTGGGGCAGAAGGAGGTGACGCCGTGCTCCAGGATATTCTTGGCCACGAAGGAAACTCCAGCGGCGACATCCTGGGAGTCCTGAGAAAAATCCACGCCGAATCCTCCTGGAAAAACAAGGTGCTCCGATGGTAGACTTTTGGCTGTCTTTGATAAATATAGAGATTATAAAGATATTATTATCCAATTAAAAGTTAATTTTTATTTCTTACCATTAATCTGGACGTCTATAAACCCCGGGGCGAGGATCTGGCCTTCGCAGTCCACCTGCTCGTCTGCGTAACCCTGTTCATCAAAAAACAACTTCTCTGGATCTAAAATCCTGCCTTCACGCACCCACAGGTCCTCCCTGTGCACACACACACACAGTTTAAATAAATATACATTTTCCATCCTCGGCCGCTGGTGAAGTTTGACGGCCTGTGACCCGTCCCGAGAACCTCATTTTATCTACAACACCGTGCCGGGACTCGTACCTCTGCAGCTTGTGGTCTCTGAGGATTCTGCAGTTTACAAACTGAGTGATGGGAGCATCGGAGACCGACTTGTTGGAAACAAAAAACACCCTCTGTATCTAAAATCCTGTGCTCTCGCACCCCCAGGGGCCCCCCGTGCACACACACACACACACACACACAGTTTAAATAAATATACATTTTCCATCCTCGGCCGCTGGTGAAGTTTGACGGCCTGTGACCCGTCCCGAGAACCTCATTTTATCTACAACACCGTGCCGGGACTCGTACCTCTGCAGCTTGTGGTCTCTGAGGATTCTGCAGTTTACAAACTGAGTGATGGGAGCGTCGGAGACCGACTTGTTGGACGGCATCTTCCCAGAGATGTCTGCCTGTCTGAGGGACAAGAGGGAGACGTATTCAACTGCCCAGCATCACTCACCAAAGTCCACAGAGAAAATGTATGAAAATAACACCAAGTGTCATGTCAGATGACAGTGACAAAAATCTAAAACAAAGGATTTCAAACAAAGTCAGAGTCAATGACACGTTTGATTTTTTTTAATTTAAAATAATATCTGTATTAACAAAGAAAAAAAAATCTGACTTTGATTTTAAAAAAAACACTGGATCTCTCTCACCAAAGTCCAAAGAGAAAGTGAGTGAATATTCAACACTTTATCACAGAATGACTCGGCTACAGTTCAGACTTTGGCCTTTTTTTTTTTTCTTTTTTTTTAGCAGCGCCGGAAGTTGAGAGCCGGGGCAGGACACGTGACACATTCACGTTATTTCTTTCATTTCTTTTTAAGCCGGAAGTTGAGAGCCGGGGCAGGACACTTGACACATTCACGTTATTTCTTTATTTCTTTATTTTTTTTAGTCGTCGTTTTGATAAAAAAATTTTTGTTGTTGTTGTTGTTGTTGTTGTTTTTGTTTTTGTTTTAACCGGAATCACCGATTATCACATACCGGTCAACGCTTCCTTAAACACACGGTCTCTTTAAGGATTCTCCAACAACAGTTGTTCTACACATTACGAACCCTAACGTTGAAAAAACCTACACGAAACCGGGCCGTCAAACAGAACCGAACCGAACGTCACTTACTCGTTTGCTGTTTCAAAACCTTCGTGTCCAGCGAGGCTCGTCACCAACGTCCGTTGAAGTGACGCAGTATAGAAAAGACTAGAAGGAAAGTCCGGTGGGTTTTGGCGGTTTGTTGTTTTCCCTCCTGTTCTGCTGCAGATGTTGGACCATGTTGATGTTTTTATAGGAAAAAAACCGCTGAACCCGTGGCCAACCCAGGAAGAGGATGAAGTCACGTGACATAGCGGAGCCGCAGTCAGCTGATAAGAAATCCGCTGACTCGGTAAAGTTTACAGTTTCAAACTGAAAGTGGAGAAGAAGAAGAAGAGATACCGACTGTCAGATTTGAATGTTATTGTCGGTTATGACGTGGTTTTATTATTATTAGTGTTTCTCATGAAGTACTTTGTTTTACTTTAACACCAACGAGTGTTTTGTTTCAGTTTCTGAATAACTCACGGCGTTAACCAGTAGGTGGAGATAAAACTCAACATTTGCGTCCTCGGTCCCTCCATCAGGGGGCGCAGATTTAATGATGTGAATTGTAAATAAAGCTCCTGGCACTGAACACTAATAACGTTTCAAATAAAGCCTCTGTTTCAATGGACATTTCATTAACATTTTTTTTTTTTTTTGCCCAACCATAACACTTTTTTTTTATATACTCTCTTATATATATTTTTTTTTTTTTTTGTATTTTGAATAATTGCAAGTAAAAAAATATATTTTAAAATATTTCTCCCAGTGTTTCTAAGTTGGTTTGTCTCAATCAGACTGAACCAATTTTTATTTTTTTTTATATATATTTTTTTTTTTTTTTTGCCCAACCATAACACTTTTTTTTTATATACTCTCTTATATATATTTTTTTTTTTTTTGTATTTTGAATAATTGCAAGTAAAAAAATATATAATATAGTGTTTATTATAAAAGAGCTTACTGTTGGCTAAAAGAAATAAAAAAATATATACAAAATAATAAAAATTGGTTCAGTCTGATTGAGACAAACCAACTTAGAAACACTGGGAGAAATATGTTAAAAAAATGCCATTCTGAGGTGGAATAAGCACATTCAGTCCAACAGGGGGCAGTGCTACGACAGCTGAGGTACTTCTGCAACATTATCAATGACCTCATCAAGTTTTTGAAACTGATTTTCACCTGATCCACGACTGAATCTGTGTCAGAACTAAACTTGGATTTAGTCTGAACCAAACAGACATCTTCATCATCATCTTCATCATCTTCACCATCATCATCATCATCACCACTGTGGCCAGGGTCACCTGACCTGTGAACTGTGAAGACAGAGCGAAACAAGTCGTTCAGTTGACACTACCAG